AGCTTTGCCATTTCAGCCCCTTTTCCCCCCAAAAAGCGTCGCCCCATGCCCCCACCCACAGGCGATGCCAGAGGGCGTGTGGGGAGGGGTGACAGTGCCAGGCTGGGACGGGGCCACCGTCCCCATGCCCACCTGTGTCCCCCCCGCCACCAGCGTGCCTGGGGGAACCCCCTGCAGCCCCCCGCAGCCCCCGGCTGGGCCACGGGCCGGGCTGTGCCAGCGGTGCCGGGTTGCAGTGGCCCTTGGCGGCAGCGCTGGCTCCGGCTGAGCCGCAGATGCAGCGAGGAACCGGAGCCAGGATGGGGGGGGAGCTGGCAGGGTTGGGGGGGGGACCAGGGCTCCAGCTCTGCTCCCCGTCCCCGCTGTCCCCAGCCGTGGGGACGTCACCCCAGGCACCGAGTGGGCACTGGGGGATGCACCGAGCGTGGCCGGGTCTCAGCCCTCGTGGCAGGCGTCGAGCTGGGAGTGCTGCCGCCCCCATGGCCACGGCGCTGCCGCCACGGCCCTTCCCCAGCCCCACGGCCGGGATGTGCCCCCCCCCGGTGACCGTCCCCACCGGGATGGGGGGAGGACCCTAAGTGTCACCTCCGAGCAACGGGGAGCCCAAAAACACCCGGCGAGGGTGGACCGGGAGGACCCTCTGCCTTCCGCACGGCTTCCAGCATCACCCGGCACACGCGTGCGCGTGGCCTCACATGCGTGTGCATGGCCCCACACGCGTGTGCATGCCCCGGGATGCATGTGCGAGGCCTGATGACCGTACCGGCCCGGCACGTGTGCGTGCCGCGGGCAGGCGCGTGCTGGCAGGGTGGAGCGGGGGGGGGTTAACACGGGCAGCTCTGCCAGACTCCGGGCTCAGCACTTTCCCGCTTTCCCTGGCTGTATGCCGGAGCTGGGGGCCAACACCGGAGCGGGTGCCAACGCCACCCGTGTGCCCAGCTATGGGGACCGTGGCCTGGCTCCCCGCTGTCCCGGAGGGTCCCCGGACCCCCATGGCCAGCCCCGGCTGGGTAGCACAGGATGTGGCCCCAGGCCCTGGCCTCGTGCCCCCACGTGCCCGGCGCAGATGGGCATCCCGCGGTGCCGGCAGCCGGTGCGGGCACTACTGGGCACCAAGGCCCCTTGGCCCCGCGCTGGCTCCAGCCCCACTGCCAGGGCGGCCAGAGGGGGTTTCTCCAAGGCCGGGGGGGCTGGAGGCAGCTGGAGGAGGGAAAGGCTGGCACAGGGGGCACGGGGGAGGACGGATCTGGCACCAAAGCAGCCGCGCAGCAGAGCCGGGATGCCCCGTCCATGCCAACCCGGACACCCCGCTGCGGTTGCATCCTGCACCGCCTCCAAGTTCGGCACCTCCAGCTCCGCAGCCCTGGCTCGTTTCCCCCCAGTAGAAACCCAGTGCCGGTGCTTTGTCCTCGGTGGCCGGATCCTGCGGCTGCGCGTGTGTGTCCCCCCACACTGGGGTTGGGGAAGCCAGGGGCTGCCGCTGCTCTCGCTGCCATCCCTGCAGCGAGCCAGGGCTGTGCTGGGCATCGGACATTTGCAAAGCTCAGCACATTCTTGGCACTTTCGGGGGCAGCAAGAGCGAAGGGTCCCGGATTGGCCCTGGCACCAGGATCCGTCTGCAGGTCAAAGCTCAGGGCAGCCACCCACTGTACCGCATGGCTCCTGCCCGGCCCTGGGGACTGCTGGAGCTGCCAGGAGCCCACCTGGCCAGAAAATTCATTTTTGGGACACGAGGGGCTTCACTGGGCCAGGCCAGGGACACCGTGAGGTCCTGCTGGGGCTGGGGTGCAGTGTGGGAGCCCCCAGCTCCGGCCGTCTGTCTGTCTGCCCGCCCACCAGGGCACAGCGGGCACGGCGGGTGCACAGCGCTCGTTAGCGTTTCCCTGTGATGAAGCAGCTGCCGCCCGCTGCGGCCGGGAGCTCAGCGCCGCCGTGATCAGAGGCCACCGGGGCTGCACTGGCGCCTGCTGGGGCACGGTGATGGTTGAGGCGGGTGTGTGGGGACGGTGACATGGCCATCCCCATGGGGACCCGAGGACCCTCGTCATGGCAATGGGGACGGGGACACCGCCATCCCCATGGGGACCCAGGGACCCTTGTCATGGCTTTGGGGACGGGGACCCACACCCTGGGGACGGGGACACCTCCATCCCAGCCTTCTCCTGCCCAAAGGCAGGGGGGCTCGGGGGTGTCCCTACATGCCCCTCCCCCCCCAGGACCCCCTATCTAATGTCCCCAAGAGCCACTGACTTGGCAGACGTGAGCTCGCTGCCTGGGGAGGGGGGCATCCAGGGTCTGTTAAAGGGGCTTGAAGGGAATTAATGGCTTTAATTGAACTAGGCAGCACCCGGGGTGGGGCTGGGAATGGGGGGGCCCAGGACCCGAAACCCCCAGGGAGGGATGGGCTGGGGGATGCCACTGCCTGAGCCCCCTGGGAAGGGGGGGACACAAACCCACAGTTACCTGGGTGGGACCTCGGTGCGAGGCCGCGTGTCCCAGCAATGTCACCGGGACGTGGTGTCACCGGGACGGGGGGGGTCACCCCGCTCTGACTGTCCCCCGGGGGGGGGGCTGGGAGGCCCGGCCCAGTCCCCTCCCACCCATTTTGGGGGGGAAGGGGTCAGTTGCCATCCCCCTAAACAGGCAAAACGCGGTCAGCAGAGCCGCGACCCCCTCAGCAGGGCTGTGACCCCCGTTAGTGCGGGTGACACCTCGTTAGCGCCGCTCGAGCCCCGGGTCCAGGGGGGAGTCAGCCGGGGGTCTGGGCTGTCTCCCCCGTTCCCGTTTTACCCGTTATTGGGGGGTTTTGGCGCGGGGCGAATGCGTGCCGGGGGTGGGGGTGTGTGTGTGTGTGTACACACGCGTGTGCGTGGCGCTTCCCTCGGCGGCTCTGGTTGCCACGGGCATCCATGGGGCTGGGTGCCACGGACCCCGGTTGCCATGGCAGCCGTGGGTCGTGGTTGCCACACGGCAGTCGGTGGTCCCGGTTGCCGCGGGCCCCGGTTGCTATGGGCGGCCGTGGGTGCCGTTGCCATGGGCCCCAGTTGCCATGGGCCCCGGTTGCCATGAGCGGCCGTGGGTGCCGTTGCCATGGGCCCCAGTTGCCATGGGCCCCGGTTGCCATGAGCGGCCGTGGGTGCCGTTGCCATGGGCACCGGTTGCTATGGGCGGCCGCAGATGACGGCGCTAGGCGGTGCAAGCGCGGGGGTGGAGCACGTGGCGCGCATTGCGCAGGCGCCGGGCTGCGGGAAGGGCGGGGGCGTCTGGGAGGCCACGCCCCCTTCCGGCGACCTAGATCATCGCCGAGTGACGCAGCGGAAGAGGCGGGACCTGAGGAGCGGAGCAGGAAGAGGTCGGTGGGGATGGGGAGGCCAGGGCCGGTGTCCCGTACTGGGAGGGGTGTCCGTCTCCCAGTACGTACTGGTGACCAGCGACCCCATATTGGGAGGGGTGTCCGTCTCCCAGTACGTACTGGTGACCAGCGACCCCATATTGGGAGGGTTGTCTGTGTCCCGGTACGTACTGGTGACCCTGTACTGGGAGGGGTATCCGTGTCCCAGTATGTACTGGTGACCAGTGACCCCATGCTGGGCGGGTGTCTGCATCCCAGTACAGACTGGGAGCCTCCTGGCCAGCCCCCCAACCCCGTGACAACGACTCCTTGTCCCCCCCCAGGTCCCGCCTGTCCCAGTCCCGCAGCACTAGAGACCCTCCGCCATGGTGAGTGGGGCCAGATGCTGCCGTGGCCACCGTGGCCACGCCAGGGCTACTGCGGTCACACCGGGGC